CATTGAGCTTAATTCCTGTGAGTTATATATTACTCTCTCTAAGCATTTCCTTTTAAAATGCAAATACCCTCTCAGGAAAGCAATGCATTAAATCACTAGCACTCCAGACTGAACTATGTTGGGGGATTTCTTTCTTATAAAACGGTGTTGAAGGACTGAACATAAAAAAGGAAAGCTATAGTTCAGAGAGCAGAGGTAGAACTAAGGGCCAAGACAGAACAGCAGCACTGGCTTTTTCTGTGGTGGTGTGGGGCCATATCTCCTTCTCACATCTTTTCACCAAAACAAACACATCAATTCCCCACCGAAATAGCAGCATTCCCCATAGGTACAGCTGGTAAAGCTAGCTGGAGTCTCTGAGAGTAAGGGGGTGAGAGGGCTGGGAGACCTTGGCCATGCTACAGAGTGGACTGGGCCTGCCTTTCAACCTTTCCAAGTTAAGGACACCCTCAACCAGTGCCTACTCGTTCCCCAAAAAGTTCAGGACTTAGAGTTCAGATAATTAGGCCTTTGGCAATCTCACCTAAGCCCACCTGGAAAAAAAAAAAAACAAAAAAAAAACTGAGACAAACACTCTCAACCTTTCTTCAGTAGGGAACAAGCAAAGAAGGGAGGGAAGGAGATAAACACTTTTTCTTTGAAGTTAAGGCTTAACCAGATAAGAGAATGCTACTAGTGTACAGAGCAGTCACTCCAACACTTCACCCCTACTCCACACCCAGGCTTGTGCCTTCTAGCTACAGAGTCTGCCCTCCATCTACCATCACCATCCAGGAGGACAGCAAACACCTCAGCAGGCTACACCCTAAACAGGAGCCAGGCAGTGAAGCCTAAAAGCCTGGAGACACAGGCTTTCCTCAGTGCCACAGAAGAGGGATAGAAATGTAACCAGAGTCACAGCCCTCCTCCAAAAAAAGTCTAGAATGTACTCCAGAATGTTAAAGAGCAACAGAGTGACTTCTTTATATCCAATCTTATTTAGTCACCAACTACTGAGTTCTCAATTCTTGTCTGGCCTGCTAGAGAGTGGGAACTATTCCTTAACAATCTCTGGTTTGGCACAGTGCCCAATAGGTGCCAGGCACACAAACAGAAGTTCCCCCCCCCCCCAAAAAAAAATAAACATCAATACTTCTTGTATATAGTCATTCTGGTATGGAGTAGAGTTCCACGCCTGGCCCATGTTACTAGCTATGCCACCTAAACACACTCCTGGGAAACATAAGGGGATAGGATTTTTCTGTCACATGGTAAGGAGGGAGGGGGGAGGGGGAAATAGTTTTACAATAATTTTTGTTGTTAAGTGCCTTCGAGTCGGTTCCAACCCATAGCGACCCTGTACAGGGTTTCTGAGGGTGTAAATCCTTACGGGAGTAGAAAGCCTCATCTTTCTCCCGCGGAGCGGCTGGTAGTTTCAAACCGCTGACCTTAAGGTTCGCAGCCCGATTCTTAACCACTACGCTACCAGAGCTCCTATTTATTGAGTGCTTGCTAGGGATCTGACTTTAGATTAAACACTAAAAGCAAACCCACTGCTATTGCACTGACCCTACAGAACAGAGTCAAACTGCTCCACAGAGTTTCCCATGCTGTAAATCTTTACAGAAGCAGATTGCCTCAACTTTCTCCCCTTAAGCAGCTGGTGGGTTTGAGCAGCTCATGCGTTTGAATGGCTGGTGGTTTTGAACTGCTGATCTTATAGTTAACAGCTGAGTGCTTTCACCACTATGCCACCTACCCAAACCAAACCCACTGTGGTCAAATCATTCCGACTCATATCCACTCTCTAGGACATTACAAGAGCAAACAACCTCATCTTTCTCCCACAGAGGGTCTGGTGAATTTAAACTGCTGACCTTGAGGTTAGCAGCACAACACTTAACCCACTATGCCACCAGTGCTCCTTATAAGGAGTCTATAATTTTTCCTAAAAGGTAGGTATTATTAGCCCAATTTATAGATGCACACATACACACACAGACTTAAAAAGAAATTCAGAAATCTGTGAAAGGTTACACAGAAGTTTCAATAAATGCTTATTTAACTGAATTGAAGGCTCCCTTTCTATGTTAAGAATTGGTCTCCTATTGACAACTTGTAAGCTGGCCTAGTGCTGGCCGGTTTGGATGCTACAAGTCCATTTAGCCTAAAAGTGTTTGGAAGTAATCTCTGGAGTGGCTACTTTCATCTTTTGTACCCTTGAAAGGAGGTTTGAATGCTCCTATTGCAGCTGTCTTTCCCACCGTGGACCCCTACAGAATAGGAATAGCGTTTCTAAGCTCCTCACTCAGTGTCCCCTCCTGAGACGATATCTCAACAGGTAGGAACGATGTGCATTAACTAGGGTCCTCTGGAATTGAGCAGGGAAAACGGAGGCCTCTTACGTCTTTCCTGCCACCCGCAGACTGAACTATGCCTCCCTTGGGTAGACATGGGAACTACAGTCAGTTTGGGGGTCTGCCGCTGGACCAAAGTGCGGACCTCGCAGCATCTCAAGGCCCCAGGCAGGAGCTCTTGGAGACGTGGGCAGCTCAGGATAAACACGAGGCAGGAAGCGCTGTAGAGGGGCCGAAACTGGGACTGGCTCGGCGGAAGCTCGGCGGTCACAGTCACTCCCTGCCTCTCACCCGCTGGCAGGCTCCATGGCCAGAGGAACAGAGCCGCTGGATAATTTTTCACACCACGCCACCCCACCACCACCACCATCTTCCTGGGTGACGCTAAGATCGTGCGGTTCCTTTAAAGGCTGAGGGTTTTGTTCTTTTCTTTTCCACTGGATGCCAAAATATGCAAATCCGGAGACCGGAATCTGCAGCCAAATCTAGAAGGAGAAGGGGCGCGGCCGGCGCGTCACCGGATCCGCTCCTTGTATGGCTCTTCCCGGCTTGGCCCGCAGCCCCAGACCCTCCCAGCAGCCGCCCTGGCCCCTCCCACGCCCAGCCGGGCTCACACCACCGCCCACGCCCCCGGGCGGGCAGCTCGCGCCCCCAGGGAGGGAGCCGGGGGCGGGTACCGCTGCAGCGCTGATTTCGGCCGGAGTGGAAGACCGCTGCCGCGCAGGCGAAGGAGAGCTGGGGGCGCTGTGCTTCCCCTGTATAGGTGTGGAGAAACTGGCGGGAGTGCGGCAGGAGTTGGGGAGAGGGGGTTCGTAGGTGACGGGAATCCCTACTTTGCTGAGAACCAGAGAAGTTCTGAAGGAGGTTGGGCCCTTTCCAGCCCCGGCTCTCCTCAGAATGAAGTAGAGGGGAGGGGAGCGAGGTTGTCATCCACCCCCACCACGATGTGCAGCTCGGGAGTTCCTCCTACACGTCCCCAGCCCGCGCGGCCCTCCCACGGCGTGAGGCTTGGGGATCCTCTTTTCCTCCTTGTCAACACTCCCACTCCCCCTGAGACATGTGCGTTCCCCCAAACCCGACTCCCCAGCGGGGGACGCGGGATTCACCGCGCCCACGCGGCCATCGATGAGGGAATCCTCCCACGCCAAGCCAGTGTGATTCGGGGTCGCTCCCCCAAGTTCCCTTCCTCTCCTCCCCCTCTCCCGCCGGCCGCGCGCGCTCCAAGAGCAGGCCTAGGGGAACGCACCAGCCGCCCCCGGAATCCGCTGCTGCTTATGGAGATGACAGCGCTCCAGGTCGGCAAACAAGCGGCCCTGGGCTGCAAGGGAGCCGGCAGGCAGTAATTGGGACAGCCCGGTGGAAGCGGGGGGGGGGGGTAGAACTGAAGGAGGCAACCATAGTGGCTTGGAGACTGGATTCAACGTTCTGTTGCAACTCAGAAGCAGTCTCCTTGCAGGCTGCAATAGACAGTGGCTGCACGCCCCGGCCTGCTGGGCCTTGTCATCCCGTAGTCAAAGGGGTAGCTTTGGAAACCTTTAGGGAGTTCACTGGGGATCTGGTGCTTGTGTTTCCTATCCCCTCCACTTCATTCTACTTCTTCTCCACCAAAACCACACGCCTATGCCCCTCAGAACCTGGTCCTCGCCTCTGGCGCAGCCCATCAATAACTACAAATCTCCCTGCCACCACGCTCCACCCGTAGCAAGGTCAGCGTCCCAGTAAGGGGCATAGGTGTGGGCGGCGAATCAAAGTGAGAGTGGCACCTAAGCTCTCAAAATACTGGACTAGCGAGCCCTGGCACGCTGGAATCCCTCTTAAAGGGTCACACTCTCCTAGTTTGGGTAGGGTCCTGACGAGGAGGATGCAGTAAGAATCCGGTCTGAGCACACACCTTCCGGGTTTCCCCAGTAGTTGCCAGGCTGCAAAGGACATCGCCAGGTGTTTTAGTTTCTCTTTCTTCTCGTCTGGGGTATTTGAGGCCACTTCCAAACACCCCACCTCCTCAACCCCCTGCCTTACAAGTGAGCTTTCCTACTGCAAATCTAAAAAACAAAACACACACACAGTCATTGCTTTTTCAACTTCGCGCTGCGAACTGCGCGCTTTGCGTTCAACTGTATTCCTCTTTCCTCTCTTCTCTGGCATTTCCCTTTCTTTTATTTTATTTCTCTTTCTCTTTTATTTATTTATTTTTTTCTTTAAAGAGCGGCGAGCGGTGCGGGCGCCACACGTTGGCTGCGGCCCGCTTCCTGCTTTCTAATGTTCCATTGTGAGGAGCTTCCATTGTGACGTCGCGCCCCTTCGGCTGGGCTTTGTCTGTCCATATATGGGCAGCTACGTCACGGAGCTTTCCCGGGGCTCAGATAAATAGGCTGGTGGAGTTCCCTGGCTGGGAGCTTTTGGGCAGCAGTGAGCTTGCTAGGAAGCGGCAGGGCTGGTGGTGGTGGCAGCAGCGGCGGCAGCAGCGGCAGAGGCGGCGACGGCGGCGGCGGCGACGGTGGCGGATCGGGGGACGGGGGGGCCCGCGGGCGCGTGTGTCTGTGCGATCAATATTGAGGCCGCATCCGACCCCCGCGGACCGAGATCCCCTCCAGCCCAGCCCCCCACCCCACCCCCGCACACACCCCACCCCACCCCAATCGACCCAGCCTCACACGACACCAGCGGAGGCACCCACCGAGGATTACTTCCCTTTGCCCCTTCTCCCACCCCCCCAAAAAAAGATCCCCTCCCCTGGCCCACCCCCTCCCCTCTTCCTTCCCCCCTCCCTCCGAACTTTCCCTCTCGCATGCTTTTCCTCTGCACCACCGATCGCCTCTCGGATGCCGCTTGCCTGGAAGCTGCGCTAGGAGCAAGCGGCAGCGGTGGCGGCGGCGGCGGCAGCTCGGGAGTGCTATGACCGGCAAACTCGCCGAGAAGCTGCCGGTGACCATGAGCAGTTTGCTAAATCAACTGCCTGACAATCTGTATCCCGAGGAGATCCCCAGTGCGCTCAACCTCTTCTCTGGCAGCAGCGACTCGGTGGCCCATTACAATCAGATGGCTACAGGTAAGGGAGGCGGCGAGGCAACGAGGAAGACTGAGGAGACAGAGAGAGGAAGAGGAGAAAATGAGCTAGCGATGGATGGATGCATGGATGGATGGATGGATGGATGGATGCATGGAGAAATGGGGGGCACGCTGGGAATTCTCCCGGGGGCGAGTTGCTTTTCCCACCCACTCCTCCCACCCTCCAGGATCGGGAAGGCTAGATAGGCGACGCCACGGTAGAGGCTTCGGTTCTCTTGGGTGGGGGCAGCTGCTAACCCAGGGAGGTAGGTTCCAGTGGCTCTGGGGTTCTCCCTCCCCACGCAGGGGGTCAGATCGCTGGGCCGAGCGCAAGGCGTGGTGCTGTCTCCCCTTTCCCGGGAGGAGCCCAGCGTCTTTTTCACTCGCGCTCTTCACCTTACTCCCTCAGTCTCCCACCCGGGATGGAGCCATGTGCGGCGTGGAGTCCCCGCGGTGGGAGAGGTACTGCGACGCTGCCTTTTCAGGGCGTTCAGTGAAGCCGTGGGGTTGTGGGGAAAGCGAGGAGAGGGAGGTGGCCACCCACGGGGGTGGGCTGTCATGGTGGGGGCAATCCCAGCGATTGGGGAGCTTGGAAAGGACGGCCAGGCTTCTGCCACCCCACATCCTCCTGATCTGGGTCTAGGCTTTCCTCCTCCAGCTAGAGCCAAAAGCTCTTTCAGGCGGGTAGGAGGCTGGGGCCACGGAAGCGGCAAGAGAGCTCCCTTTGAGGGTGGCACCCCTCTATGCGCAGAAGACAAAGCGTCGGAGTGCTCTGGGTCGCCGACCTAAGTGCAACGCGCTTAAGGGGCTTCGGAGAAGCGGTAATAGGCGCGATGTCCCAGAGATGCCAGGGCCGAGTAAAGCGGCCGAGTTGTGTGAGCGAGAGATAGAGCCCAGCGCACTCAGGGTCTGAAACTACCTGTAGCTGAAGCTACCTGCCCGCCCCACCTCGGGAAGAACAACAATGCTTCTCGCGCGCGCGCGCGCGCGTGTGTGAGTGTGTGATACGTGAGTGTGTGCGCGGCGTGTGCGGCGGTGTGTGTGCCGCAGCCACTCCACACCCCGATCCGTAGTATTTTGCTGTATCCAGGTTGCACCCGGGAGCGCGGCACCGCCCGCTTTGCGCCCGGCTCAGCGTTCTTCTTACCCCGTGCGCTTCGCACTCCGCCCCGCCGCACCCCTTGGCACCTGGGTGAGGACCTAGGCACCCCGGCCCCCGAGCCGGCTCGGCTTTACTCACCCCTCCCCTCTCTCCCCCTGATCTCCGCAGAGAATGTGATGGACATCGGTCTACCCAACGAGAAGCCCAACCCGGAACTCTCTTATTCGGGCTCCTTCCAGCCAGCCCCCGGCAACAAGACCGTGACCTACTTGGGAAAGTTCGCCTTTGACTCCCCTTCTAACTGGTGCCAGGACAATATCATTAGCCTCATGAGCGCCGGCATTTTGGGGGTACCCCCGGCCTCAGGGGCGTTAAGCACGCAGACGTCTACGGCCAGCATGGTGCAGCCACCGCAGGGCGATGTGGAGGCCATGTATCCGGCGCTGCCCCCATATTCCAACTGCAGCGATCTCTACTCGGAGCCGGTGTCTTTCCACGACCCCCAGGGCAACCCCGGGCTCGCCTATTCTCCCCAGGATTACCAATCGGCCAAACCTGCCTTGGACAGCAACCTTTTCCCCATGATTCCTGACTACAACCTGTACCATCACCCCAATGATATGGGGTCCATTCCAGAACATAAGCCCTTCCAGGGCATGGACCCCATCCGGGTCAACCCGCCCCCTATTACCCCCTTGGAGACCATCAAGGCGTTTAAAGACAAGCAGATCCACCCGGGTTTCGGCAGCCTGCCCCAGCCGCCGCTCACGCTCAAACCCATCAGGCCACGCAAGTATCCAAACCGACCTAGCAAGACCCCGCTCCACGAGCGGCCCCACGCGTGCCCAGCAGAGGGCTGCGATCGCCGTTTCAGCCGCTCAGATGAGCTGACCCGGCACCTGAGAATCCACACGGGCCACAAGCCCTTTCAATGCCGGATCTGTATGCGGAGCTTCAGCCGCAGCGACCACCTCACCACTCACATCCGCACGCACACGGGTGAGAAGCCCTTTGCCTGCGAATTCTGCGGGCGCAAGTTTGCGCGTAGCGACGAGCGCAAACGCCACGCCAAGATCCACCTCAAGCAGAAGGAGAAGAAGGCAGAGAAGGGAGGTGCGCCCTCTGCGTCTTCGGCGCCCCCCGTGTCTCTGGCCCCCGTGGTCACCACCTGCGCCTGAGGCTTGGGCCCCCAGGGCCCCACTTTTTCCCTCCAGTGCCTCCCGGCTGCCCGCCTGACAGCAGCGGGAAAGTCGGCCACGGAGGCGCAGGGGCCGCACCCTGGCCTCTCAATGGACGTGCGGTCTTTTGCTCCCCTTCGATGCCCCCGTTCCCACCCTTTCACACCGGCCAGTGGTGGGGGCCAAGGCAGGAGGCGCCTTCCCCTCGCTGCCCCCCACCCCCAGCCAAGGCGTGGGGGCAGAAAGGTGGCGTCTAGCCTGCTTTGTTCAGTTCGGATCGCCTTGATCCAGGGGCCGCTGGGCCGCGCCGAGGACCTGAGGGGAACTGAAGGCGGGGCCGGTCCAACCCTCGCCCGACCCTAACACCTCAAGGTTCCCCCTACGTCTCCCTCTGTACCCCTTGAAGACCAGAGGAGATAGGGGGTAAATAGCGCACCAAAGCGCAGAGCTTGCTGCCCGCCGCACGCACGCGCGTCTGCGTGCGGGGTTGCGCGCGAGTGTGTGCGTGCTCACGTGTGAGTGTGTGTGTGTGCGTGTGTGTGTGTG